CTGAAATTTAATAAATTTCTTTATTATAATATATAAATTAATCTTAATAATAATTATTGCCAAAAAAAAAACAAGAAATATCTTTGTACTTGTCTGCTTGGAATTTTGACGAAGTTGAATATGGAAATTATAAGGGTGCTGTCGAAAAACTACTCATAATACAAAGTTTATTGGTATGCGCCGAGTCGTGAGCTGAAATTGCCTGAAATCACGTGTCTTGAATGGAGTTAGTTACAGTTCACATTCGGATACTCCGAAAGAAAATGAATCAAAAATAAAATACGCTAAAACCTACAAAGACTTCATTTCTTTGTTCAGAAGTATCATTGTGAAAATAGTTTTTCATATTAAGAACCTTCTGTATAGAATTCCAAATTAAATTTTTATTGAAAAGGTATAGTATGCAATAAATTAGCCACTCGGAAAGCCAAGAACTTTTTGTTCAAAATTGCTCTTGTTTTATGAATTTAATTTAATAACTAAAACTAGGTATCCATGAACACCAAAATAAAATCTTATAATTTTGTGGTCAAGATGACAGCCTTGATTGCGTTAATAGAAACGCCATCTACTTTATCTTTATCAATATTATATAAATCACGAAACGTCTTTTTGACAAAATTATCGCCTGATTTGAAAAACTGAGCTATGTAAAATTTAAGGTAATTAAAGGGAGTTTTATCTAGAACAATTACTTCATAAAAGGATAATTTAGGTTGGTTAATTCTTTAATTTTAGCATTGATAAAAAAATATTTACTCCTAACTATGTTTACTACGGGGTCACTATTATTATAATGATGTCTGAGTTCATTATCCAATTCTATTAAAACTTTGCTTGCTTCAGACGAAAGTTCGGGCGCCTTGTTAGGAATCTTTTTTAGATAAAGTAATGCCTTACTTCCTAACTCTCTGACTCTTTTTTGATCTTTATTAAGAAAAATTTTGTATCCACCAGTAGTTTGATCAAATAAACTCTTCAAAGCTTGTTTATCTAAAATGTTTGTTTTTATAAAATCGTATAATCTACGATATTTTATCTAGATGATATTCCGGTGGTGGTCTAGGCATTTTATTTACTTGATGAAAATAAAAAATGAAAATAAAAAATGAGACGTTTAAATATTTTATAATAAATCCTATGAATTCTGAAAATAATATTGTTGAGTTTTCATTCAATACTTGTGACGAAATTGATAATATTAATTAAATTAATATGAATAATTGATAAATAACTTTGTGCCAACATATTTTTATAAACAATACTAAAGTCTTATAATTGTGATTTTAGGACAAAAACAAAAGTGTGCATAATTTGGGTTTCTGTATCAATTAAATTTTACTTAGAATTTATTAATTATAAGAAATCTAATTTTATTTATCCGGACTAATAGGTTAAAACATCCTGATTTTGTGTTTCAATACATATTATATTTACAGGATGTTTAGCGAAGGCGATGGTTATGAAATTGTAAAGATAAAACTAGAAATTATTTAATATAAAAAATTTGCACTTCATTGTCAAATATTTTCGTTTTAACCAGTGATTTTAATGATCATTTAATAAAATTCATCAAAATAAAAATTGCAGTTGATACTTGAACGATTCTTAAATGCAGCCAATCTTTCACAGGAACAAGTCATAATTACAACTTATGCGGATATGTGTAAAAAAATAAAAAGCAAATTATTATTTTTTTTTTTTTAGGAAAAAACATAAATAGACTAGAGGAAGGGGATAAATTTACACTTTGATTCAACTTGGATTAAAAAAAAAATTCTACGCCCACATTTATCTAAATCTGCCTAAATTTTTTTTTCTAATTCAGCACTGATTCGTCCCAAATTCATGGCCCAAATTAATTCACGCACAAAGTTTATGCTTGGATATATAAAATTATATCACCAAATTTTTACTAAGACAACTCACATTATTCAGCCTAAATTAATGCTTTAGTTCAGTTCAAATTATTCAATGATTCAAATTAGGTAAAAAAAAATCACATACCCACATTAAAACTCTAAATCTGCCCAAATTTTTTATTCTAAAATTTACATTAATACTCTAAATCTGCCAAAATTTTATTCTAATTCGGCTCAAATTTATACTCTGATTTAGCCCAAATCATACTCTAATACGGCCCAAATTAATTAAATCAAATTTTTATTCTCCAATTCAGCCCAAATTAACCCTCTAATTTGGCCCTATATCCTCAGAATCTGCCATTTAATTTATGCTCAAATTAATTTACGCTCTAATTCAGCCCAAATTTATGTTTAGATATATAAAACTAAACTCTTAATTTGGCCAGATTAATAGGGCTCAAATTAAATAAAATTAAAGACCAAAATTTAGAGGTGCGATCCGTTATCCGTTTTCCTATTTAAATTTACGGATATCCGTAAATTTATTTAGTGAAACGGATAACGGATCGTACCTCTACCAAAATTATATTAAGACCAAATTCACATTATTTCAACCTAAATTTTATGTTTAATTTGACCCAAATTTATGTTTAGATATAAAACTAAACTCTTAATTTGGCCCAAATTAAATAAAATTAACCACCAAAATTACTAAGCACCAAATTGACATTATTTGACCTAAATTTTATGTTTTAATTCTGCCCAAACAAAAATAAAATTTTTTTACGCTTATACTAAAGATTTAAACAAATTAAGTGATAAGTTCAACGAGAAGGAATACAATAAATTAACTCAAGAATTATACCAATTTATTTCACATATTTTTTTTGCTTTAATTTATTTCTCTTGATTTGTTCAATATTGATTAATTTGTATATAGTTTTAAATTAATATTTTAAATGGTATTTTTTATCAAAGCATTGTCAAATTAAAAACATATTGATTATTTGTTCAATTAGTTCTGCATAATTAATGATTCCAGTTAAAAAAAATTGGGTTATATATATATGTGCATATTTGTAGTCAGTTATTTAAAAATGGTGTCTCGTTTATTACAGTCAAAATTGCAACAAACAAGAGAAAAGCTTTTAGAGAATTTGATTTCATCATTTGAAAAACACAATTTCGCAGACACCAAAATAATTGTGGGTGAAAATGAAAAACCTGAAATAATTTATGCAAATTCTTTTATACTTAAGATACGTTTTAAATATTTTCAAAGTGCATTATAACGAATCTTAAATTTTATTTCTTTGGTTTGAATACCATTTCTTTAAAAAAAGTTTTTTATTTGGCTTAAGAAAATTTATAGATCATTAAGTTTCTAATATAACTCTTAATTGCAAAACTAAAAATTGCAGTAAACCATTATTTATTTCAATTATTATTGTTGTATGTCACGTGTTCTTGGTTAAGTTTAATGAAGAAATATGCATTAAAAATCTTTAACCTTGGATAAGAATAATAAAGTTTATTTTTCAAATTGAACTTATATGTTGGAAACTAATAAATGTCCTAAATTATGTATCTGAATTGTTTTTGATAAAAGATAAGGTTCACCCTGAAGAGTATCTGAATGAAGAATTAGTGATCAAATTATTTGATTTTATCTGTGAAGTATTTTTTGTGACTTTTGGAAAGAGCATTTGCTAATAACATCATATTTTCAAAATTATAACAATCATCAAAAACATCCAATGAGATTAAAGTGCTATTTTTGTGAAGAGTTTCTGCCAATACTCGTACTTCTTTGGAACCAACTTGATTGTATGAAAGATTCAAATAAGTTAAAGCATTGTTTTCACAAAGAGCATTTGCTAATTTATTTATTCCCTCAAAACCGACTTGATTTGATGAAAGATCCAAAGAAGCTAAAGTGTTGTTTTTGCATAGAGAATTTGCTAACTCTTTTACTCCCTCAGAACCAAGTTCACAATTTCTAAGATTTAGAGAAATCAAAAAAAAGTTACTGTAAAGAGCATTTGATATTGCTTTCCCACCTTCAGAACCGAGCTTATTTGATGAAAGATCCAAAGAAGTTAAAGAGTTATTTTTGCAAAGAGCAAATGCTATCTCTTTTATACCATTAAGACTAAGTTGATTATTTCGAAGATCCAAAGATTTTAAAGCTGTATTCTTGCAGAGAGCACTTGCTAATACCTTCACGCTCTTAAAATCAAGTCGATTAGTTGAAAGAATTAAAGAACTCAAAGAAGTGGTTGCGTGAAGAGAATTTGTAAATCTCTTACAAATTTCAGAATCAAGAGTATTAAGGTCAGGATTTAAGGAATTCAAAGCGTTGCTTTCAAAAAGAACTTCTAAGACCTTTTTTTTGCTCTTATCATCAAGTAGAATAAATCCACTTAAATCCAATTCTTTAAGATTTTTACATTTTCGTAGAAACATTATAATCAAAGAACTTACAATAGAATTATTAAATCTCACATATTTAAGCCAATCCTTGACTCCATCATCTAGATCAAAAGCAGAAACTTTTTTAATATAAGCTAAATATTCAAATAAAGGTTTTGTATTACTCGGAATTGTAATTTTAAATTGCGTCTTTAATTCTGAAAGAAATAGCTTTCGGTCATTTGCGTTTAATCCTGAAAAAAATATCTTTCGTTCATTTGCATTTAATTCTTGAAAAAATTTTCTGATAAGCTTTCCCTTTTTAAAACAAGGTTCCTCCCACAATATTGGCACAGTAATTCTACACCAATAGCGATTTACAAGAAGACATGAAAACAGGCTTCCTTGATTTTTTTGAATGAATGTAAATATGTTTAAAAGACATTCGGCAGGGAAAGAAATCATTTTAATAAACTTTTTTGTGATTCGAAAATTTTTGATTCTTCAACGTCGAACTGAGTCCCTATATAAAATATTGGATTAATACCATTCGGTCAAAAGACCTCCATTCTTTGTTTACCACTTTTTCTAGAATCATCTAAACGATTACGCGAAAGTCTATACAATTAAATTAAGGATATTAAACATCGGGAAATGGAGTTTAAATACGGATTAGTATAATACAATATATATTAATAATTTAAATAATAATACATATTATAATTTAAGTAATAATACAATATATTTATGCTGAATAAAATATTTAGTAACGTGTGATTAGACGCAATTTTTATTTTGTATATTATTATTAACCATAACGAGCGAGTCGTTAGATTTATTTGTCAGTTGTGATGACTGCAAAAAATTCGAAAAAACCAAATTAGCAAAGTAAATTTCTTGATTTGCCGAAAAGGATAGGTCTCTTGGTTCAAGACGTTAATTTTTGTGTGTTATTAAAAGTATTTTATTCGTTTGTTAATTGGAAATTTTAAACTAACAACGATAAATTTATAAATGACCGTCAATGTTAAATATTCACGTCTATATATTTTTAAACTTTGTAAGTTAATATTAACTTTGCAATGATTATAAAAAACATTTTTAACGTTAACGTTAACATTAATATATGGGTCTATGATGCTGTACATTTTAAGGCAGCTTGGTGTATTCTATTTTTATGAAATTCTACTCCTTTTTCAAGATATATTAAAAAATCAACTGGTGGGCTATCAATATCTATTGCTTCTTCAAGGTTTGAAGTTTTATCTTGTAAAGCAAATTAATTAATATGTACAATGTCCACATTTAATGATTCTCATGAAAATATTAGAAAAGAAATCGAGTTTTACAGAGATAAAATGAATAAAAAACTAAATAAAAAAGTAAAACAATCTAACAATATTAATCAAACCAAGTTCGCAATAGTAAATGATTGTCTATCCATGATCGTCTCCGAGAAACCTGAAATAACTGATCGAAATAAAGAATCTAGGAGTTTGACAGAGAATTTGTTATGCTTTACTAGTGATTTTTGTCATTATCCGGATGACAATTTGGCGGAAATTGTGATTGACTTGCATAATAGAATGAAAAACATGCCAAAATCTCCACGTGAAGGCGAAGAGTTACATTTACCTGGTTTACAAGACCTAATCTTTGAAAAGTATGTTGATTATGCCGGATACACGGCGAAGTCAAAGTGCATATTACAATCGGGTTTGAAAAATCATACAACAATTGCATGGCATAACACAATTGACAGATATATCGAACGCAATGATAATCGTTTAGAATTGAGAGCAATTGATAATATGTTTCAAATTCTATGAAAGGTTACATTTTATTTTATGTAATGTCAATTCACTTTTTATCACAATTATATGAGCTGATAACAGAAGTCATAAACCATATCATATTTGATAACCTTATGACTAAGACTAATATAAGATCATAAAATCCTTTATAATAAAGAAATACTGATTGAAAATGTTTTTTAATGTCACCTAAATTTGATGCTGTGCCACCCGCTAATCTATCGCTAATTACTGATGATTGCGTCGCCTATCGTAATATTAAAAGGGTGCGTCTCGATAAGAAAATATTATATATCTCTAGAGATGCGAAAAAACTTGATTGTATACATATAATGGGTTGTCTTTACAATCATTTAAACTGTTTATTTTTAATTTATATTATAATAATTATATAAAGAAAATCTGCATAAAAATTGCAATAACACGAAAGTTTATAGGAATGTTCACTGTTGAAATTGATAGTAAGTATGTGCTTTGGTTTCATTTTACAACAATTATTTTAATTGCATCAGCAAAATAAGTACGCATATCCCTTGGCCAACCCCATCTAAAGGTTAAATTCTATTTATTGCAAAACAATACTGCAATTTAGTAAGTCCAATATGTAAATTAATTTTATCAGATTTTAGAAAAAAGAAACTTTAAAATTGAATATTTTTTATTGAATATGCAAGCTTTGATATTGATCCACTGCCTCGACCGCGTTTCCAAAAATTCCAGGATATATTTGCCAGAATTATGAATTCTTTGTACATATATTAAAAATTGTATTGTTGTGGGATCAGTGTGAATGAAATTAAACTTAATACTGCAAAAATTATTTGTACTCACTGCAAAGGTATTCTAATTGTTAATTTCTGTACTATTAATTGAATTCTTACGTGTAACTGCCTTTTCTTGAGTTATATTTTTGCTAAAAACTCAGTAAATCCGCAGATACGAGTAACTTTATAATTTGGGTTTATTAATGAGAAGCAATAATTCTTCTAATTTCTTTAATAAACAACTAACAAATTCAAATGTTGCTCCATAAACTCCCGGACAATTATTTTCTTGCGGACCGCCTATGTTTAAGGATTTAATTTGTTTCTTTATTATCCACCCAAATGCTTCTTTGGCGTTTTTTTCTCTGGTATTCGTATCTAGGTAAATTAATTTTAATTCTTTTTCATGTTTTTTGGCCATCTCAATGGTAAAAGAAGTCCCATCTAATTCCGGTTTAGCACTCGAAAGTAATAAAATTAAAGTAGCATCGGCATCACGAACGTTCCATTCCGTCCTTTCTTTATATTCGGAAGTAGGGGTTTCTTGTAGCGGATACTTAGGGTCAATTTTATCGTCTTTGGCTTTTCTCCCTTTTGGACACCAGCCAGTAATTTTCCAGACAACACCGTTGATGAATTTTACGGAAAGAAGAGAGTTTTCTTCTTCGTATTCTTTGCTTATAACCTTAGGATTGTTTTCTACGTGATTTAAGGCGGCATCAAACATCCCCCGATCAACTCCCGTTTGTCCTCCAGAACGAAGAGTAAAGTCTGTTTTCATTACGTCGGCAAAGTTAAAGTTTTGTATTTTTACTGAAGATTACAACTATTTAATAAATTTTCTATTTGATCCGATTCTTTCGGTTGCGATGCTTAATTTAAAATTTTTGCACTGGCTTATAAAGGTGACAATTAAGAATTTTCATTAATCTATTTTTTCGTATATTAACCTTGATTGAACAATACGAAAAATCGTATTAAGTACAATGCAAAAATATATTATTGAAAACATTATATAAATAAATAGATCAATTTTTTTTCCTTTTGACGAAAAAAATGATTAATGAAAACATAATCAATATCTTTCAAAGAGAAATTAATATTATTGATCAAAATGTAGAATCAATTGATGAGAAAATTTATTCTGAATCTATTTCTCCATATCTTCAAAATCGTTCACTGTATAGGTTAAATCTTTTAAAAGAAGCACCTGATATTGATACATTCAACCAAATTATTAACGAGTTTTCGACGGTTTTATCGGTTTTAATAATATGCAATTGAAGTTATTTATTAAGTTAACCCGATTACAAGATGTAAAATTATTTTACGAAAGTCAAATTGAGGAAATCAAACAAATTGAAACAAAATTAGTTGTTCGAAATTATTATTCCGAAAAAGAGAAGCATTATGTAAAGGAAATGCAAGGTTATTCTTTTGAAGTGAATAAAGAAGCTATTAATGATTATTTTCAATATCGTTATTCATATCGTTACAATTTGTTAGTCAAAGGTGAATTTGATAGTGTTGTTTTTCAAAAAATAAATAATATGTATAATACTATAATTAGTGATCTTAAGCCTGATATTCTAAATCAGTTTATTAATTATTTAAAGCTTCAAGATTTATTTATATTAACGAAACATGTAATTGAATTGTTAAATTAATTTAATGTAACATTTCATAAATTTTTATTATCAATGAACCATCGACGACCAAAGATAATTTACATTAAACTCCGTTATCATGTCGGCTTCATTAAGACAACCCTTACGTGTTAATGGCCGTGGGACTGCGAATTGTGATCTTTTGGATCATTTAAATTAATATTTTAAGTATTCGCACACCCCTCAGACAAACATACTGACAACTCGAGCGCTATTATTTTCAAACTCGATAAAATTTGTACTTGCAGTAAGATAATACGTAAAACCTTTAATTTATAGGTGAGCCTGCTTTCTTATAATCTCAGAAAATTACTTTATAAAAAAAAAAACGCCATTAGCCAGAAAGTACGTTGTTTTTTAAAAATTCTTCTTTATTACAGATATAATTCTAATTGTGATATCACTAATCATTTATCTTTAGAACCATTCAGTTTATCCAGTAAATCTGCTTTAGGATATTTATCAAGACATTATGATTTAGTTGATTGGCTTTAATTAAATACAAAACTTTGTTAAGCTAGTTATGTAACAAAATAAATATCAAATACTTAATCAATTAGAATGAATTTAGTTATATAATTTTATTTACTAAATCAAATATATTTAACTCTCTTTAGTAGTCAAAATTTTATATTAAAAATACTTTGCAAAAAAAACTATTTTTCTTTTTCACAATAAAAAATATAACATTGGCTAAGAGTATTGTACCCTTTTTCACCATCATTATTTGTCCTTCTTAATTTTTTAATACTCTACTTGTGCTCCTGACAGTACTACATGAATCAATACATAATAAAATAGCAGCAACAGTTAAGAAAGAGCGCTCATACCAGCTAAATAAATAGCAGGACCAGTATTTTGGCTTCCAATACCAGGAATAATGGAAATAAGATCAAATACCCAAACAAAAAGTAAGAAATCAAAAAACCAAGCGATGATATTAAGTAAGAAAGAAGTTACTATGAGTAAAGCAGCAATAATTGTAAAATGAAAATATAATAAAGGTAAAGAAATTACATTAAATATTAAAGCTATTAAATAAGGAATTGAGAAAAACCCAGAAACATTAGCAGTAGGACTCTTTGGTTTAAAATTATCGAAAGCACTCAATAATTCAGATAATAAACCCGGGGCTACCGCAGCAATTTCCCCGGCAGTATTTGCAGCGGTATTTGCAGCAGTATTTGCAGCATCGCTGACAGCATTGCCAATGGCCGAAACACTAGATGGAACATTAGGAATTGAAAAGGTTGGGATTGAAGAAATTGGAATGTCGAAACGTTTTTGATTTGAGGATTTATTTGTGATTTCTGAAGAAGAGGGCACTAACAATTGAAATTTATTTAATAAAAAAAAATAAGAAAACAATTAAATTTAATTTAATACATAACTTACATTTATCAAAATTATTAATCATTGAAGGTGTAGTGCATGAATTATCTAAACAATAACCGTATAAAGTGAAAGTTATATCATTTTTTTTTGTAATAAATTTTATCGGTTCGTCAAAAAACAAATAAATAGTTTTAGAAATATCAAGCAAAAGGATAAGAAGAAGTAAGATAGACAAAAGAATTAATAAGACAGAAGCAAATATTAAAGGGTATTCTTTTGATGGCCAGACTACATGAGAACGGAAGAATGCTTGAAATGGAGAAACAACATAAGTATGAAAAGATGAATAATTTTCAGGTTTTGCCATATCATTATTGGAAAATTTTTCATCCATCTTTACACTAGTATATTAATCTAGTTCCGGTTGACTTGACAAGAATGCGCTGCATTCCAACACCATTCCTTGACGGATGGAATCTTTATATTTATAAAAAAAAATCATGTAATTTAAATAAATAACTTAATTATTTGTTCGTTAATTTGGGAATAATACTTAAGAAGGTGGCCAGTTCCATTTCATAAATCTGAAATTTGTATGTTTAACAATACAACAATATGAGAAAAAAAAAACAAGAATACAATTGCTTTGGATATTGTAATTGCCGGAACTTTATTATTAATATTCTTTCAGTAAAGAGATTAAATTTAAATCAGGCAAAAAATTAAGTATAATTCAGGGAAAATTAAATTAAGTATATATTCCAGGTACAATAGGATTTTAAATTTCATGTCATGTAAGTTACATAAAATTTAATGACGTAAATTACTCTGTAATTTACGTAAGGTATGTAAGGAATAACAATTTATAAAAATTTTATACTATGATAATTGATCATTTGTTTAGCCATTGAGGCTGGGTGCTGGGTCAAGTTGATGTTAACGCTGGAGAAAATTGGCATACGATTTGGTCAACTTTAATACCATATTGTAACTTACATATTTGCAAAGTAGATTACAGATAACTTACCATAATTTACCATGTAAAGTATGTTGTCAAGTTATAATCCTAATTTCAGGTAATTAATATATAATTCTGGGCAAAATTAAATATAAATTCAGAGATCTAAGAAACCTGCACGTTATTCGATTTGGATAGTTTAAAAAATTGGCCTGTTCATAGAGGTGTGACTCATTATTTTTCACAAGAATTTCCTAAATGAGACACAATACAACCAGACGCACATCTTTTTTTATAGTTAGCGTTAGAGTTAGAGCTAGAGATGTGACTCCTTCGTGACTCTGGTAAAATAATTTAATTCTTTAATTCGTAACTCTGGTAAAATAATTTTGGTAGAATTAATAATCTATGGTAGAATTAATTCGTAACTCTTGTAAAATAATTTTGGTAAAATTAATAATCTATGGTAGAATTAATTCGTAACTCTGGTAAAATAATTTTGGTAGAATTAATTCGTAACTATGGTAAAATAATTTTGGTTGAAATTAAAATATACTGTATACGGTATTGTCTGTCCGAATGGGTAATTATAATTGGAATTCTTAACTATTTTGAAGCTTTAAATAATTTTAAAAATATTTTAAATACAAACTAGGAATGTGATCCGTATATTAAACATCGAAAAATTTAATTAGCTGTATTGTGTTAAAACTAAAAATGATTCATTTTGATTACGTATTATGTAAAAAATATTCAGAACAATTTACACTCTTAGTATATAACTGCATCCTAACTCTATATTTTAGCCCTAACTGTATGCCACTGATAGTAAAATAATTTAATAATTTTCTTCCTCTACACTTCAAAATGAAATTAGCAAAATTAACAAACGATTGTTTTTTAGAAATTATCAAAAACTTTGAATATGATCACCACACTTTATATAACTGCCTCTTGGTTAATCGCTTATTTTGTCGCTTTATTGTGCCTCTGTTATGGGCTAACCCTTTTTATAATAGTTCTAAATATTCGATAAATGTTATATCTATTTTTCTTATTTATCTTGATGAAAATAAAAAACATAAATTGACTTCAAACAAGTATCAGGCCGATCTATCATGTACACATATTTTCCAAAAAACTTTATTTGAATATGCTGACTTTTTAGAGACTTATTCTAACTTCGAAATAAGAAATGTCATATCATCATGGTATCAATATACTCAAGATATATCTAAGCCTAGTTTAGAAATAGCAACATTAATGGCTATCCAAAGCATGTTGTTTCGAAGATGTAAGAGAATCAAGAAATTCTACATTTTAGTAGCTGAAGATAGCTCATCATTTCCTTTAATTCCTGTCTCATGGTACTTTTCTTCTGAATTGAAAGAATGCGAATTTAAATTTATTTCTTCGAATAGTCGACATTGTATGAATGTATACAATTATATTAACTTAATTTCTATAAGCAACAAAAGAATTCAAACCATTCGAATTATGAATTGTAACGAAGCTATGCAACCATATTGTCGAGAGCCATTATTAAATTTAATTAGTGCTCAAACTGAACTCAAAGAACTTGAATTGATTTATTATTTCCCTTTTAATTTTACACCTTTTATGCGACAAAAAAAGTTTCAAAACTTTAGAAAACTAATTTTAGATGGAATTAAGTTTGACAAAGATAATCTTGCAAATTGTGCACCAAATTTAGAGAATTTATTAATAAAGAATTCTTTCGGAAATCCTTTTGAAGAAAGCAAAAATAATTTACATAATCTCCAAAGACTGGAATTAGAAGGCAATGAAATAGGATTAAATAGAATTGTGCTAAAGGCAAAGAGTGAATCATTAAAATTTTTTAGAATAAAGAAGAGAGAATTAAGCATTGAAGTAAAAGAGGAATTTATTTTGTTGCTTAGTCAAAATTATCCAAACATAACTACTTTAAGTTATATAACTGACAATCTTATTTTCTCTTCAACACTTAAAATATTTAAAAAACTTTATAAACTACAAATAGAAGGATTTGCTTATTATGATCTGACTTCTTATAATAATCAGGATTATTTGCGAGCTATAGTTAGAAATTTGCCTAACTCTTTAAAAATTCTTGACTTACTCAATTTTGATGATTATAGTCATGAAAACTTGAATTGTTTTTTACAAGATTTCGATGTAGTAAGAGTAAAGTTAGAAGTTCTTATATTACCTTTTGATATTGAGATTGATTTACTTCCAAATTTAAAAATATTTATTGAAAATGCTAAATATCTAAGGCATATAGAAATATTACGATCTGAAAATTACAATACAGAAAAACAAAAAGACAGTGAAAGAGAGATAATTGAACTTTGTCGTGTTAGGAATATAAAATGCATATTAAATTATCAATGAGTTAAAATAAAGATAATTTTAATATATATGAGATAGAATTTGAATCATATTCTGCGGATTTTTGGAATTTTAAAACGGGCCGTAAAATATTATTATAAAATAGTATCATTAATTCTAACTTCATGCACTAAGTAAACTTGTCAGCACCAAAAATACATATAAGTATATTCAGACTCAGACCAGTCTGAATAAAATTTCGAGTTTTGAGTCTGGTCCAATCCCTGGACTGGACCCAAACCGGACCTGTTCCGATCTTAGCCGGACCCGAACCGGACCTAATCATATGTTGTTTAAATCCCCCTCTAAAAAATTTTGAACTTGTTATGTTAAACAAAGAATTAAATTGGAGTGGCCTAACATTCTTTTGTAATTCAAACTCATTTTAAAACATCAAACCAATAAAATTTACCATAGCACAAAACAACAAATTTAGATTCACATTAAATAAACACTTGATCTACGCTAGCTATTCGACATCACCATATTTATTTAATATTTTCGTTGGGAAAAATAGACCTATGACTTACTAATCCTTTGTTTTCATTTTACATATTATACGTACAATCGCAATCGTATGATTTTATACTAAACTTAACATGACAAACTCATACACACAAATGCCATCGATTTAACTGATATATACTATATATTATAGGACAGACCAACTGGATTCTGTGTTTTAAATTACCCCCCTCTCACCTCCGGGGGGAGGGAGTAATGTAAAACACAGAATCCAGTTGGTATGGCCTTACCAAACACAATTACTTCGTCGTTCTGACAAGATACCAGATACTGATATGTGAGATATTTATCGTCCCAGCATTAGTGCAATAAATTCAATCTTATCCGATCCTTTTATAATGATACCCTATATCCTTCTTTATTTGTAAATCGATACTAGTGCAGAAATGCAATCCAATTGCTATGGGCTTGTCTATTTGATAAATTTCTATTACATTTTGATAACATATACAAAATTACATCAGTTTACCTCTCATCATTAGAAGAGTATAAAAAAAGTTATCTTAAAGCATTATTCAGAATTTATATGACCAAAAATCTGATTCAAAATTAATACTACCTAAAAAGCCTTTATTTAATTATCTAATGATGCTAGAAGGATTTTCAATAAAGAGCTTGGAAAGAATTGTACGTTCTTGGATCATTATATTTTGTCCATAACAATTTGGAGTCAAAAAATCAAATCATGCAAATTAAGAAGCAAATAATTTTACTTTTATTCCAATTATTCCTTAAAATTCTAAATTAAAATTTTTAAGACTTGATAGCGATAAGATTATAAACACTATAGAGCTTCAACCTAAAAAAGATTTAAATATTACAAAGCTTGAAATTGTATACATTACTCAAATATCAATATTCACTATAAAGTTTTTAAAAAAAATTTCAAAATCATGTAAACAAATAAATACTATAATTGTTAAAATTCCTGCATTTGAGTATAACTCTATGATTAAAAACTTTATTATAATGATTATAAAAGCACAGGAAAAATTAAAAGAATTTAGCTTCAATGGTGCAGAAAGTTGGGTAGAGGAAATAATTAAAGCATTGCAATTTCATGCAAATTCTTTGATATCGATCCAACTTAATGTCAAAATCTCAGCATCTTCTTTATATTCACTTGCTAAATGCAAAAATTTGAAAAATCTTGTAATTTTGAACTATTCTTTAATATTAGTTGAAAGATTAAATAATTTCAAATTTAAAAATTTGAAGAAGCTATATATTAAAAGGTTTTAAAGAACATTAAAATGCCAACCTTGAAGAATTAACAATAGAAACATTAACAGAGGAATTAATGTTTTCTATAATACAAAACTGTTCTAAAATTACTTACCTTACTCTCAAAAACTATCTTTCACCATCTCATGACCAAGTATTAAAAAATTTTTTTAAAAAAATATTATACTTAACTCACCTAACCATTAAATTTCTATCACTAAAAAATAATTCAATTATTTTTGAATCTTCACTACTATTTAAAGGATCAATTCCACCTTCGTAGAAATTCATTATAGTTTTTAACCTTTATTGCACTTACTGACGAAATATTGATAATAAAACAATTGAGTTTATTACAAATGCAAGTACTCGATCAAATTTAAATAAATAATAATTATGCAAAACAAAGATTTTTTACACTTCATTTGGTCTCTCTATTTGTATTTTCTCTGTTTAATTTACAGTATTCGATGTATTTTTTTTTTTTTTTACATATTTATATCGATTTAGCTTTAAATATAAATACATTTGTCGATTTTAATTTTTATGCACATGAATTTAATCTGGGATAATAAAGATTATTTGTTATCACAACTTGCAATTCCCGTGATGATAGTATGTGTTTAAGTAAGGATCATTAGAATTATTGAGATTTCTATTATAAGTTAATGTAAAAAAAATTCTGTTACAAACTTTACCTATGTAGTTATGGTTAAATTGGTTGTATTAGAATTATCGTAATTTCTATTGTGTGTGCTGTCAACATCCTGTAAAGAACTTACACAATATGTGATAAAGAATTAACAAAGATCCATCATTTTCTAATAAAGAATAATTCAATGGACTTCCTTAAGAAAAATTGCAATCAACACCTCAGAAATTTAAATAAAATAGATATTAATTGAGGTTCATTTCTAAGTTCAATTTATTCATGTGACATTGTATTGTTAATTTTATGTAGTTTATTTATATTTTGTAAATTATAATTAACATCAATAGCAGGCAGTGAACCAAATAATGCATTATGCTCAATTCTTGTATTGTATTTGATTTTAAAAAATGATTAGTCACATTTATCTTACGCAAAAAAACGTATTGGATTACTTTGATCTCTAAAAACAACAACCTTATATGTAATTAAATAAAATACTAATTTTAAATTGGTTCAATTTTTACTAAACATAGTAATGTCATGAACATATATAAATTTGAATACTACTTTTTTTTTTTTCGAGTACTGATAACGGTAGAGGTTTTCCCAGTTACTAGGTAATATTCAGAACTACCTAATAATTCTTCTGAAATTAAAAATGCAATTTGATCATGATCTTTACTTTTAATTTTATTCTCTTTTCGTTTTTGATTTACGCTTAAAGCCAATTTAGTCCAAAGAATTAAGAAATCTTCATTATTTCCTTTGCGTATTTCAGGTATATATTCCACAAACTTTCGGTAGATAAATGGATTCTCCAATGTTTCAGAAAACAAATGGGTTTCTTTTGTCATATTAATATTTTCTCTAATTTTTTTGATAGCTGTTTTTAATTCATCCTTGTATGTGATTGAAGTTAAATAATTGTCGATGATAATAGGGAAGTATGTAACAAAATGGTCAATTTTGTCATCTTTGATCATTTTTCTTTCTTTTTTTTTTTTTTTTTTTTTTGTAATAAAGAAACAAAATTTGTTTATATATTTATTTAAATGAATGCTGTCCATATAAAATATTTACACATAAATTTGATTAATTCAAATATATAAATCTTCTTTAGTATGAATAAAAATACAATTACAAATACTAATCAATTCAAACAGTTGTTATTATACTAAAGTAAATTAATTTATTTCAACCTTTAAATTAAATAGTTAGATTTTCAATTAATTGCCTTCTATGCAAAAAAAAAATCAATTTTTAGTTTTCCATAGTTTTCCTTCTACGGAAATAGAAAAGTAAATTTTTAATATCTGATTTAAGCAATTTTTGTTTCAAAAGCTTCCTCTTCGAAGTTCATTCAAATTCTTCTATTATTAAGAAAACAATATGTTCTGCTCAAATAGACACCTCTTGCAGGTTGTAAATAGCCAATGGACAAACCAACAGACACAATAGACAGTCTAATTGTCTAATGGTATCTAATCAAGCCATTGGGCAATAGACATATATATAAAAAATTAATTATTAAATAATTAATATTCATTATTATATAAAAAAAATTTTATAAATTCAAATCGAGACACTTGAATACTATTTAGCACAAAAAAACAATTAAATATAAATAGCATGAAGACCTTTGTCGAGAAGCATAAGCTCTTACTAATTCTTGTCTAACAGTTGATTGACTACCTGCTTCAAAATACCGATCTTTACAAGGATTTGTAGTATAAGCTATTACTTTATAAAAATATGAAATCTAAGAATTATAATCTTCATAATGAACAAATTTTTAGTTTAACTGTTATTGAGTTTTTTTAAAAAAACCTTTTAATAGTATCGTACTTAAAATTTTTAATCTTCACGAGTTTATTACGCTCTAAGTTTATTAAATAATTTAAATTTACACGTCTTAAAATTTTTAATCTTCACGAGTTTATTATGCTCTGGAGTATAAATTTAAATTAATACGTCTTAAAATTTTTAATCTTCACGAGTTAATTATGCTCTAGAGTTTATTATATATTTATATTTACACATCTTAATAAAAACAAATAACATTAAGCAAATATATCTTAACTCAAAATGCTTCATATTTTTGTTCACACTCATCATACGTAAAAATGTACGGACATGAAATATACGCATTAATGCACGAAAAAATAAAAAATAAATAAAATACAGTCAATTATATAACGATAATTATTACGGAACAGGGCCGGATTCACTAAACTGCGACACACATCCCTGCTGTATGGATTATAAGCTCCAAATACATGACAAAGGCAGTCAGTGGAGTGGTCACATTTTTGATAGCTTAGAGGCGGACGAGTGAATAACCAACGGGCAAACAGTTGACTTCACGCAGGAAAAATTTCCTGTCGAAATATTAGGGACCGGAAACTTAACCAAAAATTTGACTATTCAAGCCGCCGCTTTCTCCCAGCAAGCCCAAACAAAAATCACACAAGTTGTTCATCATAATGCCGGCTGTAATTAATTTGTCCGGAATTTACTTGTAATGCTGGCCGAATAGTTAAATTTTGGTCAGATCGGAATCGAGCGATCATGTGATTTTTACTGATTTACTATTAAATAAATTTGAAATCAAAACAAATAATTATTTAATTCTCTGTTTTGTTATCAATTATATAATGACAAATAAAAAATGGAAAGTTTATTTCGACAATTACTTGGAGTATCTTAAATTTTCATAAAGCCTGGATAAAAAAATACAAAAACGATGATCCACGAAAACTTCAATTTCAAAAAGCGAATGATGCACTAGTTAGGAGTTTGCGTTCGATCGTCGAAAACTGTAAAGATAATAAGAAAGTTGAGAAAGCAAAACTTATTTTAAATATAAAGGTGAGTACATTTTCATAGAATATTATATTATCAACGGATACTACTTTCATACTGTGCTGTTTTTTTCCGATATCACCACAACAAAATCGACGGGTACTACTTGTATCACTAAGCTATGTTATTAGATACTGCCTCCATACCTAATGAATTATCTTAGTAAAGTCATAATTTTTTTATAAATGTGACTATACTCAAAATATTTCAATAGGTATCTGTCTTTTGCTATATCTAACACTTGGTGACAGGTACTGTTTTATCAATGAGATATGTATGTCAACGGATATTGTAAACAGTTCTTTTGTTTTATCTCTGAGGCAATATAATAATTAACATGTATTTTGTGCTTGCTGATAATTTAACTAAGTATTTCTTATGTCTATCTTTCAAGAATAAATGTGGGGATGATGTAAATACTTTATGGCTTAATATTAATATAAATAAAAGAGGTGTTGTGTATTTTTTGTTTAATTTCTACAACAAATGCCATTATAATAATATATATTTGAAATCAGGACCATCAGTTAATAATGAAAATAACCAATTGTCAGAGGATTATTTTTCGCTTTTTAATGATGATAATGAAGTCAATTAATAGATGACCATATCTTTAATGAAAAAATGACTCTTCCTGAATTTAATGAAATAAATTTTGAAATTGAGATGGTAAAAATAACTATTTTAATAAGAGTCCTAAAATTTTAATTTACTCATAATATGTTTAATCAATATTTAGTTAAACTTTCAAAAATTAAAAAATTCTTTTGAAAAATACCAAAATTCAATACCTAGTTCAAAAAAAGTAGTAATGTAAGTTTGGTATAGTTTAATTCTTATGTATAATAATTTGATTAACATAATATTGTTAATATCATTATATTTTTATTTTTGATATTTAAAAGACCTGCATACTGGGGTATATTAGACCTTACTAAAGAAAGCTTGTTCAATTGGAAAGAAATTGATAATAAATTATTGAATAAAGTATCATAGCTTTTTACAAATATAATTGCATGGTTGCTGAAAACAGCCCCAAAGCATTGCAAGAGTACTTTAATAGTAATTGTGAAAATTCAGTTTTCAGATTTGAAAAATTACATATTTATATTCAGTTTATATAAGTATAATTTAAAGATTATAAATGTTTTTAAATCTTATTAAAATATCAATATTTTTTTTAAATATACATATATTTTTATAATTATTTTATAGCAAATGTAATATGGATCGATTAAATTGTATTAGCAAGCAGGAATTAAAAATGTCCACAATATTCTACTAATTCATGGAATGTTTTCAAAAAATTTAATTGATGTCACGGCTGATGCTGAAGTTGGCTGATGCTAAAGTTATGGGGTCTCGATTTGAAACTATAAGCTCTGCTAAAATCTATATATACTCTATAAATATGAAATCCATACCCAAACCCTACCCTAACCCTATAAGACAAAAACAAAAAAAACATCCAAAAAAAATTTTTAAATTTTATATTAAAATAGGTCATAGCTTCAGTATCAGCCAACTTCAGCATCAGCCATGACAATTGATAATAAATAGTATAACTTTATTATATTAAAATAATAAGGTAAAAGAATTTATGAGAAGTAATCTTGTACAGTAATTTTTTATTTTTAGGGGAGAAGTTCAGTCTTTAGCAACAAATGAAGCTTGTAATGAATCAAATAATCTTTTTCAAAGAGCTAAAGTTGGTCACAAAGCAGACATAAAAGGAATATTAAAAAATACTTCAAATAAATTAGAGGCATTATATGGAGAAATATCTGAAGATTTAGGGGCTTTTGGTTTATCAATAGCAAGCAGAAAAAAAAAATATCTTGATAAAGTCAAATTGTCTATAATGATATGTGATTCAATTAATAAGGCTTTAAAACAATAGAAGCATATTAATGATGATGGCAGAAAGTCATTGGTTGTGTATGGATTTATGCAAGATGATATGAAATACCTGATTTATCTGATTTATGTATTAGAGTTATTACTGAAAATATATTTTTTTCTAGGTCTTGAAATAAGTTTTTATGCAATGTCTTGGTTTGAAGGAATCTATCTTTTCAGAAGAATTGATTCTTGCACAATATAATAAATTAAAGAATATACGTATCAAAGCTGATTTTAAACTAACTCAACTTACAATGCTAAATTAATGTTCAGGTTGCAATCTGAATTAATGTTCAGGTTTTCTTTAAAATGTCTAACTTAAAAAATAGGTAAAAACACGCGAAGATTAAGCAATAGATTCATTGAGCTTTTCAAAAGATTTCCGCAAACTGAAAAGATAATTCTAGTCATTTTTTGATTTTTAATTTCATAATAGAATTATTACAAAAAGATCTTACATATTGTTTTTTTTTTGAAAATCTATAAGATAGAGAAGGTTCAACAAATAAATTGGCACTTAAAAAAACCGTCTGTGTTGTTCGTAAGTTTTAGGAGTTATTCTGAAAAGGAAATTGTTTTGATTTTTTTTACCAAATCTAATAATTTGACCAATTTTTCATCATTAATTTGGTTTGAAATAGATTTAAAATGTCGACCATCTTTTGGCAACATATTTTTAAACTATTCAAGAGTAAAGCGAACAAAGTATCACTCTATGATAATAGAAATTAGAAATTAGCCAATTAAATTGCTTAAATCTGAGAGGTAAAATTATATTTAAGAAATTCTAATCATGTTTTAATTATTTTATTTAACATTTTCGACTTATAGACACCCCTTTGTGAAGTAGGAAACAGAAACCTCTTTACTATGATTTTATTGATTTTTAAATGATAGTTAATGTTAAAATGTCAAAGGAAAATAAAAACGGTTTTATTATAATTCAGTGAAACCAATATGAATAAGTTTTATGATTGAAAATTTAATTCATTTTAAAGATGTCTTCAATTGGTATATTTTTTATTTATTTATTTTTTTTTTTTGTGCTAATTTCACTAATTAATGTGTTTAATTTATTTATGAAAATTCTTATAATTACTAAAAGACAAATTTTTAAAAAAGAATCTATTAACCTTTCAAACTTTAAGTTATAAAAGAGAAGAAAAGCATCAAGAAGCATGGAAAATAATTGAAGATCTACTTAATTGTAAAGAGCCCCAAACCCTAACCCTAATGCTAAAAAACCCCAAAAAATGTCATTTTAAAATTTTGCTTAAAAAATAGAAAATTTTCATTTTAATCTGATTTCATTTTAATCTGTCACAATTAGTGATGTGCCATTTATATGATACTTGAAAAAGTTTAGCATAGTACGAACTGTACGTATAGTTCTTTTCTGGCATCTGATTGACTGAAACAAGTGTTCGGCAAAAATTTTAGCGTACATTCGTATAGTACTGTACGCGGCACGTCACTAGTCACAATTGTAATTAATAAAAATACAGTCAGACCCGCCTAAGTGCACACCCCTTGGGACCATAGTGAAAAAATGCAAAATGTGCACTTAGAGGAGGTGTGCACTTAGGGAGGTTAAATTTTATAATTGTTATATAAGTTGGGACCAAGCAGAAGCGTGCATATTAGAGAGGTTTTCATATACCGTGCACTTAGGGAATGTGCACTTAGGGGTGCGACTGTATTACCAATTTTCCAAATCTATTTTCTCTACATCATTTCTCATTTCCTCCATAATATAATTTTGTACAATTGCGGTCAAAGGCAATTCATCAAATAATTTAGGATTATTTTCGATAATTTCATTAGCCTCCTTACGGAATTCTGCCAAAGTATTCTTATACTTGTTTGATTCTAAGAATTGTAAAATTAAAGCATGAGTGAGCGAATTAACTCTGCTAATCAAATTGGTTGCTTGCACCATCGTTGCGGTGTTGAAATTTGTTGTTGAAAAAAATAAAGTTTAGGGAAATTTTAAGGTTTACACCTTTGATTTATATAAAACAAAATTTCGATATTTTATTTATTATAAACACGTGATAGACAATAAGTATTGTATAAAATTTTTTCCGGCCGGTCACTTCTGCCAGCCAATGAAAAAAATGATATGTACGCTAAAATTTTCAGGTATCATATTATAAATGGCACATCATCACTAGATCCAAAGAATTTTTTGCCCCACTGTAAATATTTTTTTAAAAAATCAATTTTTTTTAAATTAATTCTATAAGTCTATTTAAAAATTATTTATCAAATTTGATTTAGTTATTTCTGTTCAAAGTTTCAATAAAATTTATTATATAAAAAATTTTGCTTGATTTCTATTAACTCCCGTATTATAATCTATTAATGGCTTTGTATTATTTCATTTATACTTAATATGTTTGTTCCTTTATTATATTTCCGAGTATTATAATGTTGTAATATGCCAATTTATTTAAATTGATGAATTTATAATTAAATTGAATTAAAATTTAATGATAATTAGAAATTTTCGATTTAATTATCCATTGGATTTCTGTTAAATAATGAATATATACTTGCAATTATTATAATTTTTTCAAAACTTTTATAGTTCAGATGTTTGTTTTGAATTAATTATCTTTGAATTTATTAGTATTGTTGCTTCACAATCTATATCAGATATGTTACGACCCATGAATAGATTTAAATCTTCGGAAATCTCATTC